ATGTTTTTTCTCGTCGTCACTTTAGTACAGTATATAACTCTCTTGGAAGTAATGTCTTTGTATGCGTTCTAGATGTTTTTTTCTCATCGTCACCTAGTATAGTATATAACTCTCTTGGAAGTAATGTCTTTGTATGCGTTCTGGATGTTTTTTCTCGTCGTCACCTTAGTATAGTATATAACTCTCTTGGAAGTAATGTCTTTGTATGCGTTCTAGATGTTTTTTCTCGTCGTCACTTTAGTACAGTATATAACTCTCTTGGAAGTAATGTCTTTGTATGCGTTCTGGATGCTTGTTTATTGTCGTCACCTTATTATAGTATAACACTCTCTTGGAAGTAATGTCTTTGTATGCGTTCTGGATGTTTTTTCTCGTCGCCACCTTAGTACAGTATATAACTCTTTTTGAAGTAATGTCTTTGTATGCGTTCTAGATGTTTTTTCTCGTCGTCACTTTAGTACAGTATATAACTCTCTTGGAAGTAATGTCTTTGTATGCGTTCTAGATGTTTTTTTCTCATCGTCACCTAGTATAGTATATAACTCTCTTGGAAGTAATGTCTTTGTATGCGTTCTGGATGTTTTTTCTCGTCGTCACCTTAGTATAGTATATAACTCTCTTGGAAGTAATGTCTTTGTATGCGTTCTAGATGTTTTTTCTCGTCGTCACTTTAGTACAGTATATAACTCTCTTGGAAGTAATGTCTTTGTATGCGTTCTGGATGCTTGTTTATTGTCGTCACCTTATTATAGTATAACACTCTCTTGGAAGTAATGTCTTTGTATGCGTTCTGGATGTTTTTTCTCGTCGCCACCTTAGTACAGTATATAACTCTCTTTGAAGTAATGTCTTTGTATGCGTTCCAGATTTTTTTATAGTCGTCACCTTAGTACAGTATATAACTCTCTTTGAAGTAATGTCTTTGTATGCGTTCTAAATGTTTTTCTTGTCGTCACCTTAGTACAGTATATAACTCTTTTGGAAGTAACGTCTTTGTATGCGTTCTGGATGCTTCAAACATTTTGACAGAGTCAACCACTGAATACTTTTTAGCAAACTGGTTGACCGCAAAGTTCCGGCATATATCTATCCATTTCTCGTGAACTGGTATTCCTCGGAATACTACTTTGGTTCTGTCTCGCAATCATTCTGTTTTTAATGGGGTCTTATCCCTCCAGTCTCCCCAGTCTTTTAATGTTTACGTTTGTGAACTAATAACAATACCATGTATAGATACTTAGTTGGGTCAACGCACAGTCCCTCTATAGGCAGGGACTGTGGTAAACGGTAACTAATAACCTCAGTTATGACTATGGCGTTTGTGTGGTTGCGCCATCTATCAAGGGAGACGGTTATTCTGCACAAGAGCTTTATTGCAGTTAGAGTATGTATTAATCTTCTGTCATATTTGTTTACTGTTGTGGGGCAAGTAGTGTAAGTCAAACATGAATGCAAATATAGTATGTTGTAATAATGCGCTCTGCAGAGTGTTTATATCTAAGGGACTATAGCACTAGTACCATGTTCGTTGCAAACCGTGTCAACTCTTTTTCGAGTATTTAACGATATATCATGAACGTAGACAGACAGTCAAATCGTCTCCTTTCGAGCGTGTGTAATTCTGATGTGTGGTCAGCCAGTATTTTTCCAACACTGGCTGTTGTACTAGTTATTACATTTATATATTATTTTTGTGTTCTGTTCTTTCTGTGGATCTTAAGGTCTGAATTATATAATATATGAAAATAAAACTCACTATCCATATTTTTGACTCTGTTATTAAATTTCCTGATAACCTAACAGCTGTTGTCCAGTATCCCTATCTTACAGGGTCAATCAGATTTACTTTATGACAAAACGTAAACATAAGAACAATTTAAAATTGTTTGGTTTCGCACATAGTTGCAGCGTTCACACACAAATAACTTAGTCGAGCTAACAAAATGTGCATAAACATTTAGCACGGTCTACGAAATGTACGGATTAAATGTGGTTCGTTTTAAAGACCCGGTTCAGTGCTTTAGCACGGGCTAACGAAGTGTGCGTGAACGCCAATGTATTCAATGTTTATTTGGAAGATTTACCACTATATTCATGACTATTAATTTCGATATGCCATGACAATCAACGCAAGCACATCTAGAAATATTTTTCTCATGAAAAAAAATTAAGTGACGATGATGCGCTGTGCTATTTCCTATTATTCTACATTCTACAGTTTCTGAATTTGGTATTGTTTTACTAAATACCGTAGAACTAAAAACTAATCTTCGTATTTACTGTACTGAGTAATTCTAGTCACACATACAAAATACATAGAGATTTAAATTTAATTTGTGCGCAATGCCAAAAATAAAGTAATAAATAATTGTATCGAATTTAGATCTTTCTCATTGGAATGACATTGGCTGTAATGAAGGTCCTATTCTTTGTAGCTTCTTTTAATAAACGTTATGAGGTGTACCCTACCTGTGAGGACTGGTATGGAGCCGTTTCAATGTGCAACAATTTTGGGGGACGGCTTGCCAGAATCGTCGACAGCGACACACAGGAACGAGTGACGTCACTAATTAGAGAGCAGGGACTGGGTTACCAGGATTTTTGGTTTGACCTACACGACATGCATACCGAAAATAATTGGATTTCAAGTAGCGGAGATGTGCAGGAATACTTCAACTGGGCAGATGCAGAACCAAACAATGGTGGAAACAGTGGTCAGACTTGTGGTGGAAGGCAGGATTGTGCCCAACTATGGTGAGCTATATTTGTTCTTGCCGTATGTTATGTCGTATAAATATGTCCATGAATAGGTATTAATACATTACAGCGACGCTGGCTTTTTGTTGACATGGCAAGGGAGTAAACGGTATGTCTACTTTGAGTCAATTGCACATACTATTTATTTCAAAACGAATTTCATACGTGTAGTTAAATATTATCTGCAGATATTAATGTACTAGATAAACAACCGTGACTGAGCATGTATTGCATCTATATGGAACAAATCTACTCAGAATTGGGTCAAGTTCAAACTTGGCACTTACATCACTCACGGTGGGAAACTGATTTATGTCATTTTGTTCCGCGATTGGATTCAAAATGGCAAAGCGGTCGCTATTATGTTTTTTAAAAGTTTCTTTCCTGACAGCCTTTTACACTTTTTGTTACAATATTGGTATTAAGGAAAGACAAAAAGGCAGCATGCCCTTTTCAGATATTTTTTTAATATTGATGAAATTTAACTGACTGAGGCGGCCGTGTTTATTCATTAATTCGTTCATTCATTTTTGCTTATTTATTTATTTATTTATTTATTTATTTATTTATTTATTTATTAATTAATTAATTTATTAATTTATTTATTAATTTATTTATTTATTTATTTATTTATTTATTTATTTATTTATTTATTATAATGGGTTCTTGGGTCGTTTCTTTGTTGGTTGTTTTTTTTTTTTTTGTGGTGATCAGTTTGTTTTTTATTTCTTTGTTGGTGGTGGGTTTATTTATTTCTTTGTTAGCTGGTTGGGTGGCTTATTTGTTGGATTATTTTGTTGATTGGTTTTTTGGTTTCCCCATCCGAAAATATCAGATATAGCATATTCCTATCATGTGAGCTATGATAAATGCCGTCAAAATGGCCGTTTACTAAAATACAACTACCGTTTCCTGTAAAATTGATCCCAAAGCTTGTTTAACATTATTTATCATTTCAATATAATTATAAAGGCCAGAAGTACAAAGCATTGTTATGTGACACATTTTTTTTTTATTTATTAGTAGGCTTTTGCTGTAATGTATTTTTTAACAGAAATAAAAGAATTCACGTCGGAGATAGTGGCCATTAATTAAATATATTTACGACGCACAGTATTAGCGCTACAATGAAATAACAACAGCTTTGGAAATATGAGAGAACCTGTGAATATTGTTATGAATTCTGTTACAAGAAGGTTATGTTAAAATAAATGGTTAACAAATCAATGTCTTCTAGTAATTGTATGATTGTTCTTAGGTCTCAACGTGATTACCAATGGGATGATACTATGTGCTGCGAAGAACAGGGGTTTATTTGCGAGTTTGATATAGGTAATGTCAATGCAAGTTCAGTATGAGCTGCTAGATTTTTTGAGAAAAATAAATAAAATATTACTTTTTACAAAAATCACAAAATGTTTGTCAAAATTATTTACCTAGACGTCTGATGCAACCGTTTTGACACTTGCAACGTGTAAAAGTATAGTATAAACAATCGATGGATTTCTCTTATTACAGTCACAACAACTACTCAAGGGTCGACAGAAACTCATAAGAAACAACAACCAACTATATCGGATATAACGAAAAGGAAAATATCACATTCTACCGAACCTATTACATCGGTTATTCCCCAATCTCCCACAATTGAACAGAGTACTCTCTCTAGTATCAGTGACATATGTGCAACTGTGACTGGGCTGGCGAACAACCACGCTCCGAAAGCTGAAAAAATCATAAACACCGAACCGTCAACAATGACGTCGTCAGCTAAAGGTAAATATTGCATTTCTGCTTTGCTCCCTTATATAGTAACTGGTGAAACAACATGTTGTCGATTTTAAATAGATATACATTTAAACAACACTATCTTTACAGCAGTAAATTGATTGATAATAATTAAAGTACTTGTTGTATTGTACATCAAAATACATTTTCCAGGCATATCGTCCATGGGTATTTCGCAGCGATAATTATTTCATGTTTCTATATTATTTTCAGACAACCCTGTGACGATAATTTTGCTGGTTATATCCATCATTAACTTTGTCATTTTGATGTGTAGTGCAATTTTCATTTATCTGTTCGTATGGAGAAAAATGTGAGTCGATTTTGATAGTTAAAACATATTTGGCAAAACTAGCTGTCGTTTTGCATATGATAACTAGTATTACAATTCAAGTCATATAATATATCCATGGCAACGTTAATATCATTTTCCATTACATTTGCATGTATTTCACCTAAATGCCGGATTTCTTTAATATATAAAAATACATCAAATGGTGGTTTCACATATGTTCCATATATGTTATCCACATTACATTTATCTTATTACTCATGATTTCTTTTGACTCTCTTTCAGGAAACAGGGGATGATCCAGGCTCCATCATATAAAGACCTTGTGAAGCAACAAAATGAATCCTACACCAACTTTGAATAAATACTTTTTCATTTTCCGTGTATTCTAATATATGAAAAAACGTTGTTGATAGGCAAGTCACGGTTTCCCGCGTTTTATGCTGACTTTATGATATGGTAGGGTCCACATGTTGTCTCATCAAGTAGAAATTAAACACATGCATTTCCATTATTCTACCGATAAAATAAATCTATTGCGCCTAATGTAGAAAAAAACGTATGACGTGGGTGCCATATAATAAAAACTATATTTGTAATCAAACCATCTATCGATATTACCAGTATAATTAATATGAGCAGCTACGAGTGTAGTTGAATTAAGAAAGTGACAAAGATATCACAAGCATCAATATGATCGCCATTTTCATTCCGTTTATATATGTTAACCAGTTTATTGGTAGATAATCGGATATCAGTTAAATATGACATTTGATCTGAACATTAAAGCATTCACAGTAAATAATGTCTCTGTGTAATACATATCATGAATGGAACATAACTACCATTTTGAACATGGATAAGAAGCGCTTAATGATTTGATCATTGTTTGACTCACGACAAATAGCATAATAGGTCATGAAAGATCATGAATCGTATATTAACATTGGTCAAATTGCGGTCAATCATAGGTATTTGTGGTCATTCATCGTCCCTGGCAAGTATTTTATAACCGACACATACTTTATGACGGGGTGATGTATTAATTAAAACCATACCTTAAAACTGGACAGACGTATGAAACATATATCGCATTCATTTTGAATCTATTTTGCGTATATATGTGTGTGTGTGTATGTTGAACACCCACCGTTTTCACTAAACTATGGATTGGAGGGCGACATGTCTGGCACGCGATCTGACTAAACGAACACGTGTATATTTATGATCGAAATTAATATAATAATTCATTAGGCAGTTCCCGTTAAAATGCATATGTATACTTTATTTGTTTATACATCCTGAGCAAATGTTGTCTGTATTCACAGCACGTACTCGCACATACACGAACTCCTACAAGGATGCACACGAGTCAGTGGTTTATAATTATTTTCATGATCTAGACATACATTATGTTAATCCACATGGGTTGTGTTTAAGATGACGTAACATTTCAACATTATATGAAAACTGAACACTATATTTGAACAGTTATTGAATATTTTTTAAATCAAAACAAAATTAAAAATAGCTTGAATATTTCAAACATCTCAACAAAAATAATAATGAGAATAATGCATATTTAATAAGAGCCAGGATATGACCGCATAACAAATGAAATTATAAAATCAGGCCGAAATACACTTATTATACCAATTCAAAAGCTATTTAATCTAATCTTAAATGGTGGCCAATGACCCCAGTCCTTAAAAAATTGATAAAAGATTAATCAAACATGTTAAATATAATAACGAAAGAACAAATTGGATTCATGCCAAAATTCAGTACAGCTAATCACATCTCTTTGCTGCACCAAATATTAAAAAACACCTCAATAACCGTACACATATTTGTGTCTACTTTATCTACCTTCAAAAGCGTTTGATTCAATTTGGCTTCTTGGATTACCAACTGCGAACAAATAATAACAAAGTTTTACAATATAATCAAATCAAAATACCAAAATGATGTTGGCTCTGTTGACTAAAAAGCAGGCCTTAGCACTTCTTCCCAGTTGATTGGAGCAAAAGACAAGTTTTATTTAACAATATATCAATGACATCAAAAGCCATATTGATTGATCACTTTTAAGTAGTCCCATCTTCTGCTTGTTATATGCATATGATCTAGTATTACACTGAAATGAATGTCTTAAAATTTAATATCATGGTTGTCAATAAATCTAGCAACCATAACAAAAGATAAAATTGTAATTCATGGAAAACCACTGGAAATTGTATCTTCATACACTCACTTAGGATTGAAACTAAACACAACTCGTAAACGTATTAGAGCACAAGAAGATCTCTGCCAAAGAGCGATGGAAGCTTTCTTCAAAATAAAACAGTTACTCTGAAAACATTATTTCAGTCAAAACATACGTAAAACTATTTGATAGTATGGTTAGACCTATCCTGATCTATTGCAGAAAAAAATGGACGTGTGACCAGGATTTTTCCCTATCATACGCAAACGCATTGTAATCTTTTCGATTGCTTTTGAAACCGGCATCCAACATCATTTATCGTCGTGGGTGCGATTACGCCTTTGTTGTTTTCCCGCCGAAGAACAGTTACATATCTTTTCAATAGAAGAATCCCCGCTGGGCACAGGATATCCCCAAGCAAGCCGAGAAACTGTTTTTGAAACCGAACTATACATTATTTCTACATGATGAGATGCCCCAGGGAATTGTTTCACAGGACCTAGTATTGAGCCTAATAAACCTACATATTATTAGTAGTAGTTAATATATTACCCACAAAGACGTTTCGTCTAGCTAATGCATATATGAAGAGAACCAAAAGTACGACATTGACAACATTTCAACATCTGTAAAAAAACAAAAACAGAAAAACAAGTCTCCGCTCACCAGATAAATCAATAAATGTAGTCCAGGTTTCTGGGATTGTCACTAGTGTTTGACCAAACAGGCAATAATTCTTGTTTAATTAAAAATGGTGTGTAGAAAATAAATAATATCATAGATAAATAATAATAAAGATCTTTGGTTTGTGATGAGCATATGATATGTTAACATTGGTGACGAGTTCATTATCTGACTTATTACACGGCATGATTGCTCAAGAATAAATTGAATAATCTGATAGAATATATTTTTCGGTGGGTTCGTTTCTATTCAGGCAGTTACAGTCTTATCGCCAATATGGCTGGACGCCGTGACGAATTTGACTATCCTATTTTCCCTGTGATGATTAATCTCGATAAATTACCACAAAAATTTCAAGGGAAAAACTAGTAATCGTTTTTCAATGTGACTGTCGGCTGATATTGACGGATACGGAATTGTTCACTGAATTGAATAGCGATATGATATTAAGTTAACATAGCAAACGTTCGGACATAACGCTGAGATATTACATATCATAGAGGTAATGTGGCGTTTTGTACTCAGGGTTGTACGAGAATGGTTAGTATGACTGAACAAATGTACACAATCGAAACACGGTAGACTTAATTATTGGCCTATGTTCCCCTCTCAACTCAACTGAAAGTAAGCAACCCGGAAAAAACGCGTTATTTGGGATATTTTTGTTGCGCATTGTATGCGTTAAGGAACATAAATAAGTTCAAATATAAAACTTACTCCTCCAGAAACATCATTGAAAAAGGTACATTTTTTATGCTTCACATTAGCAAGAATCATTCTGTGTCCTGCGTCTTTTATCGCGTCCAACACATGTATTGCCTCATATGTCCACATGATCGTTATTTAGGGTATAGTTTCGTGGCACCAGTACGAGAAATAGACAGTGTCCCAAATGGTTTCAAGCCCGCAAACCAATAATGCAATTCTATGCCTTTTAAAAATGTAATTATTTGAGTCATGTTAGTGGGGAAAAGGGTCTCACAGTCATACAATCGTCAGTGTCCTTGCCTGAAGCTCATCTGCGTGCTAAGCTATTACAAGATATTATACTCGATTATACTGATTAAAACGCGATTATTTGTGATCATAGGGTTTAGCTGGAAAATACCGCTTTCTACATTATGTAAATATGTGTTAAACATGGAATTAGTTAAGTAAATGATCATTGTACAGCAAATAAATTAAAAACAATAACTAAGCTAATTGTTTTTTTAACTAGTGAGTGTTGGTATCCAAAGCAGATTAGGAGTGCATTACGGACATGTCCTAATTAGGAAATAAACTAATTTTAAATTAATGTATTGTTACATACTAAATTTCCAAATCATCAGCAACAGTCAATCGCACAATTTACATTAGTTTATTAAGCAATGGCCAAATTAAACCGTGTCTTGAGCTGTCACATCGATTTTATATTTGTGAAAACATTTCTAGCATTTGTTTTTTCGTTTTTGTTTGTCAAATTTATTTTGTCCTTAATTTAGCCTTTTCTTTCCTGGTCAAAAAAATCAGAGTTCAATCTTAACTGGACATATTTATTCTGTATCACGGTGTTCGTATAGTCCGCGATACGACATGCGCATTTCCCTCTAGTTAATAAGGGTGATATTATCTATACACGCTTTTTGGGCAAGACGGTCTATTTGGTGTAGCGGATAACGAGTGTGTCTTTAATGGTTTTTAATTATTTTAATACCACTCAGTGGCCCTTGTTGGATCGACATTATACAAATGACATACGTTAAGTTAAGTAGACGTGTGTACTCATCTAAAATCATTCCCCGCTCCATATCCTATGTATCCATCGTACTCTTACTGCCGGTGCATGTGGTGAGCATCTCTAGGTACAAGATATTCATCCATCAGTATAAAGCTGAAAGTGTAACTAAATGCTCAGCATGTTTTCATTCAATATAGTAATATGTAAATGTAAGCATAATGCGTTCTACCGTGCGATCTATTGGCTTAGAACCCTATGGTACATTGGTTAATGTGAAATGAGAATATGTCTTAGCATCTCTCAAATATGTATGAACATAATTAGTACGTCCAAATGAACGTGTTTGTGACCATGTGTTAATACTCTACGCTTTTTTATTTTTTCCCAATACAAAATTAATAAACAAATTTCAATCATTTTTATAACGTATTTCTGTAGATACACAGTGATCCGCGGTATTTGATATCGTCAACTCAATTGCCAGTGTATTTGGCAATGTTTAATTTGCATTTCAGCATTAAAATGGCCTGATACACATGTTCACAGTTATTGCTTGAAAATATGTTGAGCTAAAATATGGCCTTTAAAAGTGATTAGCATGAAAGCACCCAGCACTCTGGTCATCTTATTCAATAACAACACGAGTACGTTTTTGTTGATTTCAACAGCTCTAATAACACGAATTTAATTTATTATTACACTCATTTTTAATATCAAGATGGCCCTGGTCATGCTCGATGTAAGCCACTACAATACATTATGCTGTCTGTGCATTTTATATTTAGTATCATTCGCTGCTATTCGTATTATGTAAACTTATGTAAACAAGTTTAACAGTTCGTTATTCGACCACGGCATATTCACGGCACTGTTTCACTGACGTTGCATGCATGGAGCAGAATTGTTGCACCCGGTGTTTGAAGGACAGTAACAATAGTTGCTTCTTTTTTGTTATAGCCTGGAGTGTAAACATAATGCGAGATGATTGTGGATAATTTGGTCTTCACTAAATACTATATTGCCAACATATCTGCCGGCTTTGGATAATGCATGTAATCAACTGCACTAAGTTAATCATTTTAAATTTTAGGTCATTACTATTAATAATAAAATTACCCATCGCCACATCATTACAGCCTTAGCACTATTCATAACTATTCATATATTGTTATCTTATTTCGACCAATCCAGGAAACTGGTGTATTCAGTCTTGGGTTATATATGGACCAATACACCACTTTAATGTTAGTTTTGGCAAGACATCTTACTGAAAACCAAGTAGTAAACAGACTGCTGTTGAGCACTACATTCTTTCTTCAGATGGATATTATGAACAAATCTATCATCAACGATACTGTGTACGTGAATGACACCCTGCCTGAAAATGACGTCTTATTTCTACATAATACTACGTTTGAGATGGCATTTTTATCTGTTATAGCGATACTTGGATTATTTGGTAATATTTTGGTACTCGTTGTTTACTGTCAGAAGAAATACAGCACATCAAATGCATCATTGTATATGCAACACTTAGCATGGGGTGAGTATTTAGTATAACACCAATCTATAATTATGCATGGTTAGGTAGCAAAAGCGATCAAACTGAGTTATTAATTTTATATTGTTCTAAGTGCATTATAATCTGACACTTTGTGCATCAATAATATTATAAATAACAACCGTAATTCTGTTTTTTGACAGGTGATTTGTTAGCCGTAATTGTTGTGGCATTTATCATCACAGAGTCGTATCCATCTACATGGCACATTCTTTGGCGTGCAGACATACAGTGCATTATACAACGAACATTACGATTTGTCGGTTTCCATAATACATTGGGTATTACACTCGCCATAGCCATTGACCGATATTACGCTATATGCCACGCACTCCACTACAGGGCTCGTCTAACCATATTCAGAACAAAAATTGCAATTCTGTGTGTATGGATTGCATCAGTACTCACAGCTTTGCCATTTGGATGGTCATTTCGGGTAAGTACGACTATATTAATATACATATGCGTTAACAGGTTTAATGGATTTCCCAAATCCTTAATGATAAATGTAGTAAACAAAAGTATCCTGTTACATACCAATTTCACTATATATTCCTAGATTAGATCGAAGCAAATGCATGCATGATTGTACACTTGTTGACAAAATGAAAAAAAAAACTTTCTTTTGACCCTAATGTTGTATTTGTAGAATAATAATGAATATTGATTGATTATATCGAAGTTTTTTTCCCAAATATATAAAAGCGCAAAGATTGTAAAGACATATCGACCATTGTGTACATTGTTTCTCAACTACTATTAGTTGATAGGTGGTCTCTGGCAATTTTATCAGTCCTATGTACATATTATCACAAAACAATGTATTAAACATTGATAGCAGAGTAATTCCTCCATAATTTTGACATCATCTCTAGAAATAATTTCATTTATCCATAGTGCAGAATAACTACCAGATTCTAAAGTGTTCTTAAATGGCAATTTTTATGCTAGATTAAGTGCTATCACTGTCATAATTTATGTTTCTGATTTCAATAGAAAATTACATATCATTTCTAGCTCTACAAATCATATCCTCCAAAATATTAGCAACTTCTGAAATAATTACTCATTATGTGTTAGTAATTGTTTTAAAATATTATAGTATTCACATGTAAACTTACCTCAGTTTAATATGAATTTTTAAATATTTCCTTCCAAGTAAATTTAGCATGTGGGTCCAAATTATTACCAAGTATTTGCACACCCTTTACCGAAATTGGGCTAGTGTCAATGTTTGGAACAGGTCTGAAACGTGTCTGGTTACTGTGTCTGAGAAAGATTTGTCCTAAACATGTTTCAGGCGCTTTATTTACTAATTTCAAAGTAGTATAATTTCGGACGACTGGTGACACGACGACACGTTCTATGTAAAATCTGTATGAAAATATTTGAAACATGTTCCAGACACATTTCAAACATGGATACAATTGAATACACTCTGACATGTATGAAGATTCGGCATTATTCCCATTCAAAACCCAATAAATAATGAAAATCATAATCATAATCATACGTGATTGTAGATTGCATTCATAAAGAATTAGATAATTAGAACATCAATATATCCAAATGTGTATGTTGAAAGGCACATGTTCATCAACAGAACTCCTGTCATTGTGATTTCTATGAAAAATAAACTCCAACTGTTCAATAAATTGTTGCAGCTTCTTGAATCAAGCCCCAGATAATTCAAGCATTGGTAGCTGAAAATTTGGTATGATGAATGGCAGTTTAGTGGCAGAATTTGACCATTCTGAACTCCACTATTCCAATGCTACCACATCACATTTACCTAGAAATCCAACATTTGGCAATTTACTGAGGATGTCTGGGATGCTTTCCAGACTAGCCTTAAACATATACTGATATGCACTTAACAAAATAGTTTTGAACTTGGTTCAAAATAATTATTTTCATCGGGAATGTTTTAGTTATGTTACAAGCATATCTCAGTATGAGTCTCTTCATAGAAACATAATTGGTACATGTTACTGACTAAACTGGGGATGTTTTAGTGACAGCATTTTTATAACTGAATGTGATTGGAAATTGGTAAGACATTTGGGAGATCACAAATTTGCAAAAAATGGTCGGAATTGGTAATTGATGGTAAATAACGCTGCCACATTACAAATCATGGTAAAGTCTCTTCTTATCAGCAAGACTGCCATTTACTATTCTTACTTTCCGCACTATATTCCGAAAACAGGAACTTATAAGTTCACCCGTGTGCGTCTGTCTGTGTATTCGTTTGCAGATTACATTCAAACTAAACACACACATCATATCATTCACGTCATGCATTTGTTCCACAATACAATTCAAGAACATATTGGCTTCCCGATGAATGTCGTTTTTTCTGGAAAATGGCAGACTGAGGTCCATATTGTAATGAATGCTGTAAGTTCCAGGGCCATATCTATGACATGCCTTTGCCGATCACATTCAAGCGATATACATACATCACTCATTATAACTATAGTCAGCTGGCTGACACATGATAAGAAAATAATTGCGACCAATATGGCGATATTTACTATATGAGGGCCGCCATCTTGATTATAGCTTGTTACTAAAGAAAGAGGCAAGTTCCTAAACGTGTGCATTGGTTATGTATTTCGGTTGTACATGATTTCTGTTTATTTTCATCCTACCATATAAGATAATGCGAATTCCAAATATAGAATGATTACGCGCGTAAGCGTCCTCTAATAATAACAATAAACACGGCTGCCATCGGGGTTTGCCCGGACTCCACACAAAGAAGTTCGCTGATTCTGTTCTAAACTTTTTGGATTTCGACATTCCCATGATGTATCATTGGTAGGAAAAGATGTATAATAATAATGTTATTACGAGAATACCTCTAAGTGTGCAGTCAGACAGTACGCCGCGCATCGACCTCCGCTGCGTGTCGGTCAATACTCCAGCTGTACTGCCTTCGTGCATGCTTTGAGGTATTCTCGTAATAACCTCATATTCATATTATTATTTCTTTTCATTTATTGCAGACACAATACGGCGGATTAGACAATATTAAAACGGAAAAGTCTTCTTATGCATGTTCTCATATTATCATGTCTGAACCTTACTATTGGTACATACAATTTAGAGGAATATTCATCAGTGTAGTGTTATTCAATATCCCCGTTATCATAACAACAATTTTTTATAGTATGATTGTATATAAAGTAAGGAAGAACAACAAGAAATTTAGTGGTAGGTATAGACAAGCACATTTTGATAAAGCTCACTGGAAGACAGCAAGAATTTTGTTAGTTGTCTTCCTGGCATATTTTTTCAGTTATGTAGTGTACTATATTTACATTGTATGCATACTCCTTGGCATTCATATATATATTGGTCCAATATTCAAACACATTGCTTTGTTTGCCCCTTACGCAAATTGCTGCATGAATCCAATAATTTATTCCTTCATGAATCCCCATTCGTGAAGCATGTTTAGACATTTTCCGCTGCTGTAGCGCTTTTCCTGATATTCGCCAGGCTACTGCAACCAATATACGTGGAACGAAGGCCAAGCAAAGCCCCGAGTCTAAACAGCGAGATCTTCGTCATCATGCTGAATGCACCAATGGTGCTACGACCTCTTCGGGGATAATATGTCAGGTTAGTACAACTTGTAAGAAGAGTGACAACGAGGAGTGTACAATATGTACTAAATTATCAGAAATGAAAGCTTATTCAACAAAGTGTTCTGAGCTCGCCGAAAAAATTGATATTCTCATGATGTCGCCATATTTCAAACAAGGCAATGTCGATGAGAACGTATTGCCCTCACGTTTGGTAGGTAACTGCAATACAAGTTTTCAACCGGAAGACGTTGTCTAAAGAATTGAAATCAAATTGAATCAAATCCACTGCCCTAAAGACATTTTATTTGACTCGATTTAAGTATTATAGTAAATATACATACGACTAGAACTTAATTCTTTCTCGGTAACTTGATGTAAAATATATATGACGATATCTAATGCATTCTGTTTTTATGCTTAATGTTATATTTACTGGTTATGTATTTCTTGAATATGTACTAGTCATTTATTTATTTGTTAGTAATTATAAACTATTTAAACAAACGTTATATCAAAGGCATACAATCTGTCCCAGCAGTACACAAGAACTCGTCGAAATTGTTCTAAGAGGTAGTTACAAATGTTATTAAAATTTTATTGTGAGGTATTGTTGGTAGTCGTAGCCGCAGACAGATACTAAGTTCTTGAAAACTAATTATAAGTGGAATTCATTGTTTCGAATCATAATTTGGATAAAACAATACCAGGTTATATACATAGCGTGACTATTACAACCTTGTCCATTTAGAGTCTAGATTAAATACCAAATGAAAAAGCATGCATAAAAACGAATGACGCAATATCCTTGTGTGGCAAATAAGTATAAAAGTCCTGAAAAAATGCAATAACATGTATAAACATGTTTCACGACAAATACTTGCAAATATTGTAGTCGGGACAATCCGAACCAAAAGTAGTCCTCATAAATTAATTTCAATGTCTCTCATTAAAAAAACATAACATAAAGTTCATGAAATTAATAGTATAACAACATATCTAAGCAAACTTTGGCAAAGAAAATAATAGACAAGGTGTTCTCCTCTATTAATACTATTGTATTTATTTCAATGCCCCTTATCAAAGAATAATGTATGAATTGCATAAACGTTTGCAAATAAAAGCGCAGTAATATACGTAAGCAAAATAAAACAATAACCAGATACTCAAAACAAATGTTAACTCTACTTACCTAATTGGCATATATTACTGACAACTGTCATTATCGGAAGTTAAATGTCTTCATTCTTTCCACTTATTTCAGTAGAACTCACTCCATTCCCGGAAAATTGTTAGTTCCACCAAATTATAAATTAGTTGCCATTCCATGACAATTGATAAGATTCCTAAATTTGAAGTTGATCGAATAAAAATTATTATCAGTACAGACGACTATCTTGAAAAATATATATAGAACCAAAATCGAGAAAGCAAATTGGTTAAAAAAAATGTCCAAGTTTGAAAGAAATTTAATAAAACTGTTATTGTAACAGAACAACATAAAAAAGTTTCATAATAGAGTCAATGACAACAGCAGCAATGATACGGACATATTGCATAAGTGTATTT